TCTACATAGTGAGTTCCAGGAGAGCTGGGGCTATAGGGAGACCTTGCTTCAAAAAGAAAAAAAAAAAAAAAAAAAAAAAAAAAAAAAAAAAAAACCAAAAACAAAAAACAGGCACCATAGTACACTTGACTGTAATCCCAGTATTCCTACAGAGAAATGGGAGGAGGGGACAAAAGAATCTTCAGAAGCCCTCAGGCCAGCTAGCCTGTTACACACAACAGTAACCAACAAGAAACCCTATCTCAAAACAAGGGGGAGAGGCTGGAGCGATGGCTCAGTGGTTAAGAGCACCTGCTGCTCTTGCAGAAAACTGGCGTTTGGTTCCCGGCATCCATGTTGAATGGTTCTCATCTGCCTAGAACTCCAGCTGCAGGGGATCAGACACCTTCTTCTGGCCTCTGTGGGCACCCACACACATGTGGTATACACAGAGATATGCACACATAAATAATAATAAAAATAAAACTGAAAAAAAATGAGTTGGAAAGGTGAGGACCAACACCCAAGGTTGTCCTCTGGTTTCTACATGCATGCTGCGGCACATGTACGGCTGTACACAATCACATGAGCAGAGAGAGAGAAAGAGAGATTTTTTAAAGGGAATTCAAGGGGCTAGAGAGATGGCTCAGTGGTTAAGAGCACTGGTTCCTTCGTAGAAGACCAAGACTTGGTTCCAGGGGATACGACACCCTCTTCTGACCTTTGTGGGCATTGCATGCACAGGTGCACTTACACGCAGGCAAAACACTTATACATATAAAATAAAAATAATAAATAAAATTAAAAAAAATAACTGGGCATAGTGGTATACACCTTTAATCCCAGCACTAGGGAGGCAGAGGCAGGTAGATCTCTATGAGTTTGAGACCAGCCTGATCTACATAGTGAGTTCCAGTGGTTAAGAGCACTAGCTGCTCTTGAAGAGGACCCAGGTTTGTGTCCCAGCACCCAACGTGGCAGCTAACAACCACCTATAACTCCAGGGAATCTGATGCCCTCTCTGGCCTCTGCAGGCACTGTACTCAGGTGCTTATATGCACATACAGACACACACAGGCACATAATAAAAATAATAAAAATAAATAATTTTTTAAATGAATTTAAGGCTATCCTCAGCTACATAGCAAGTTCAAGGCAAGCCTGGGCTACACAAGACCCAATCTCAAAAAACAGTGGTGAGGGACAGATGGAGTGAGAAAGTCACTGGAATTTGGGAAGGATGGGGAGGCACTAACCTTCCACCTACACAATCTCCAGCCAGACTGCAGTGTGGAGAGCATCATCATGGAAACTGACTGGAAGACTGTTCGGGACAGCTGCAGCAGGGAGCGATTCTCATGGGGCAGTGCAGCAGGCCTTTCCTTGACAATGGTCAACATGCACGGTTCAGGTACCCCAGGGCATTCATCCAGGTCAGAGACCTCAGACTCCTTGTGAGGCTTGACCAACTTTACAGTGTCAAAGTTCATGGAGGTCTTCTCTGCTCCCTTCAATGGCTGTTTCTTGGCATGTTCTGGGATGACTAGCTTCTTTTCACATCTCCAGAACAGGACCTAAGAGAAAAGACATAGGGTGGGCAAAATGGCTCAGCAGGTAAAGGAGCTTGCTGTGAAACTCTGATAAGCTGAGTTTGATGCCTGGATCCCAGGATGGAAAAGAGAGAACTGATTCCTAAAAATTGTTCTCTGACCTTCATACTTGTGCCATGGTACCTGTGTGCCTGCACACATCACACACACACACACACACACACACACACACACACATATACACACACAATTACAACAATAGCAATAATAATAATAAAGAAATAAGACAAGGACTGGAGAGATGGCTCAGCAGTTAAGAGCATAGGCTGCTCTTGCAGAGGACCAGGTTCAGTTCCCAAACACCCGCATGATGACTGACCACCATCCATACAACTCCAGTCCCAGGGGCTCTGATGCCCTCTTCTGGCCTCCACAGGCATTGCAAGACATGAGTGCACTTACACATATGCAGGCAAAACACTCATACACATAAAAAGTAGTAAATATTTTTTTAATTAAAAAAAAAAGAGGGGTTGGGGATTTAGCTCAGTGGTAGAGTGCTTGCCTAGCAAGTGCAAGGCCCTGAGTTCGGTCCTCAGCTAAAAAACAAAACAAAACAAAACAAAAATTAAAAAAAGAAACAAGGCAGAGGACAGAGGAGAGACCACAGTAAAGGCAAGGAAGTTGGGGGTGGCTTTCCCACTCTTCCCCTAAACTCCTCTCTAGCCCTCCCAAGCCCCCACTTCCTGCCCTGACTTGTTAAACCACAAGAGGCCAAGAAGGTGGGACATCATGGTGAGGGTTATCATGGTCTAGAGGTCATGGACCAGAACTCCCATCCCATCATCATATGAACATCGTTGTAAAACTCACCCAGTTGCTCATCTTTTGCCAAACTCCCCCAACCCATTTCAAAAACCTTGTGACTACAGTCATCTTTCCAGAGGCCACAAGCCCAAAGGATGGGGCAGAGCCAGCATTTGGGGTGTTGACGGGGAAAGGCTGTCAGCCAGTGGCTACCACTAGGAGGAGATTTGTGGGTACTGAAGAGCTTCAAGTACAGTTTTGAAGGAAGAAATAAGAAATCCAAATGGGGTGTGCCCCCCAGTGACTTATGTCAGGCCCTTCCTCCCCTCCCTGGGACAGGGAGAGGAGTCAAAGTGGATGAGAACTTAGAGTGAGGGAATGTTCTAGATCATTGTGAGAGCTGCCTGGCCCCAACCCCCCAAGGCCCTTCTAAGACTTTAGAACCAATCATTGACAGCCTTGGTTCTTCTAACCCTGTATCCAAGATAAGGAAATGAATATTGATCAAGTGCCTTGGTGGGTTAGGCACTGTCTGTGGATTTTGCCAGGTAATCATAACATCACTTCAAGGTAGGTGTTCTGGTTAGTGAAGGCAAGAGTCATAAAATCAGCTGGGTATGGTGGCCTTTAACCCTAGCACTTGGGAGGCAGAAGCAGGTGGATCTCTGTGAGATTGAGGCCAGCCTCATCTACATAGGGAGTTCCAGGCCAGCCAGGGCTACATAGTGAGACTCTGTCTCAAAAAACAAAAATAAATTGAAAATTTTTTCACAAAAAATGAAGTTGAGCTAGGCATGGTAGTGGGCAATCCCAGCACTTGGGAGATGGAGGCAGGAGGATCAGGTGTTCAAAGCCAGCCTCCACAAGTTGGGGAAATGGCTCAGTCAGTAAAGTACTTGCCAAACAAGCATGAAGACCTGAGTTTAGATCCTTAGAACCCATGTAAAAAGGCCAGGTGTGGTGTTATACATACCTGTAACAACTAGCAGCATGGAGGCAAAGACAGGAAGATCCCTGGGGTTTGCTGGCCAGCCAGTCTAGATTAATCAGTGAGCTCCAGGTTCAGTGAGAGACCCTGTCTCAAAAAATACTGTGGAGAGTGATTGCAGAAGACACCCAGTGTCAATCTCTGGGCTCCACAATCATGTATGTGCACACATGTGCATGTACACACACACACACACACATACACACACACACACACACACACACACACACACACACACACACACACACACATCAAAGCCAGCCTTGGTTAGACAGTAAATTCAAGGCCAACCTTGGCTACACAAGACTCTGTCTCAAAAAACGAAAACAAAAGAACAGGACTGAGGAGATGTCTCGGTGGGTAAAGTGCTGTCATAGAAGACTATGACCATGACCCATGTAAAAACCAAAAGTAGTAGCACACATATTTGTAATCCCAGTTCTCCAGAAGTTTACAGGCCAGCTAGCGTGGCAACACAGAGTAAGCAAGACACATTGTCTCAAACAAGTGAAAAATAAGTACCAGCACCCAAGGTTGTCCTCTGACCTCCACATACAGACCATGGCACAGACATTCACGCACACATACACACACACACACACACACACACACACACACACAGGAACACAGACACACAGGAATACAGACACACAAACACACAGAAAACCACAAAGAGGAAGGGGCCAGGCACGGTGGTGCACACCTTTAATCCCAGCGCTCAGGAGGCAGAGGCAGATGGAACTCTGTGAGATCAAGGCCAGCCTGATCTCCATAGTGAATTCCAGACCACCTGGGGCTACAGAGAGACCCAAAAAGATTAAAAAAAAAAACCAAACAAACAGGGTTGGGAATTTAGCTCAGCGGTAGAGCGCTTGCTAGGCTAGAAGGTATACAGCCCCAAGCTGGGCATGGTGGAAACACACACATCTGTAATCCTAGCACTTAGGAGGTAGAGGCAGGGCAATCAGGAGTTCATGATTGTCAACTATTTAGCAAGTTGAAAGCCAGGCTGAGCTACATGAAACCTGGTCTCAATCATCAGGCCCTGCCCCCAAAAGGTAAAGAGCCCAATCCAGTTGGCTGCCAAGGACTTCAGAGTTCTCTAGTCACCAGAGAAGGAACAAACTCCGAGGCTCTAACTGCTGTCACCCTAATCCCCACTAGATGGGGTCCTTCTCCTTGGCTACTACTTTCTCCCTGGGATAACAGCCCAGGCTAACAGGGAGGAGCCTGTTCACCCACTGGGCCCAAGTCCTCAGGCAGCTGGGGGTGGGGTGGAAGCCACAGCGGCCTGCCAGGCCTGGCAAGGGCAACATGTGCCCAAGGAGTCTGGCCCACACCCAGTCTTGAGACAAGGGACCCATTCAAGGCTCCCTGCCCCGCCTCCAAGCAGCCACCCGGATCCAGCAGGCAGAGGGGACACGCTGGGAAGCTGGGGGTGGATCCTCACTCTCACCAAAGACTTCATTGTTCCTCCCACCTTCAACCACCAGCACGTGGGCAGACACCGCCCCCCACCTCTCCTCTGCCTGGCCTATCTGGCCTTCCCTGGGACAGGACCCATTTCTGTACCACTGTCAACCAATTCGCCAGTGTGTTAGACCAGGGATCTTCAGAGAAACTAGGAGGGTACCCACGCAGGCCTGGACACAAGCAACAACACACCAACCTCTACATTCAAGTTTCTTCAGACTTTTAAAATTATAATTATTATTTTAATAACAACCTGAATCCCAGAAGTTGAAGATACTGTCCATATAGGCACCCCCGCCCTGGGCAGAGGGAAGGGGGCACTTGGAGGGAATGAGGTTGGGGTAGGGAATCTGCCAGGGAACCTCCAAATATTCCCAAACCATCTACTGCTGGGGGGGGGGGCTCCCCAGAACACTGATACCTAGGGAAGAGGGGAACTAAGTTCTCTCATGAATGAGGAGCTCCAAATAAACACTCCCTCCTGAGCTCCCCCTCATCCATCGAGGCCTGGGGTATGGGGAGGCCAGGTGGGAAGGGATAGGCCAATACTGAGCCTTTGACTCCCATCCCTAGGGATTGGGGGCTTCAGGGTGGGCATTAAAGCTACATAGGAAGAGGGGGCAGGCAGCTGGCACAACACCTAGCAGCAGGGGCAGCCCCCAAAGGCACATTGTGAGGGAAAAGAGGCTCAGACGGAGGGCCCGTTGGGTGCTGGGGGCCCAAGCCGTGGGAGCCCTGAGGATGGCAGCTGGGCCAGCTGCTCTGGGCTGGCCAGGGCACGTAGCAATCCATTCTCCTGCTCCAGCGCAGCATTCCTCTCTGCCAGGTCTCGGATCTGCTCTTTTAGTATCTCTACCTCTTCTCGCACAGCAAACATGAGGTGGGACTTCACCAAGTCCTTGGGGGTGGGGAGAACCCCGGGAACAGACAAAGTGTCAGGAATCCTAGGTCATCACCAACCGCATCCCCTTGCCCCAGTGCCATGAAAGAGTGCTCCCCTGTGCCCAAAGGAAAGGGGGAACATGGCACAGAGAAAGGAGGCCCCGGGAGAGGGCAGGTGGCAAGGATGAGGGGCAGGACTCACAGACACAAGGGTTAAAGGAAGTCAAGGGTTGAGGCAGGGGTGAACAAGGGACTGGAGTTTGTACTCCTGAGTAATGGGAGAGATGGACAGAGGGGCTATAAGGGGCCTCCTGAGACCAAGACATCTTCTTACCATGGCTTGTTCGATCTTGTTGTCAATGCCAACCAGGCTCCCGGAACCACTGGAGAGACACAGGGAGGAAAGTGAGCAGGAGGAGGAGCCCCAAGTTGGGGCAGCTGTGTTGCTGCCTTCCCAGGTGCCCCTCCCCTGTACCTGTGACAGTAGAGAATCAGAGGAAGGAGGCTTTTGTCCATCCCCCAGCGGGATGGTTGCTGCCCAGGCCCCCCTAAGCCCCGGTGGGGAGGAGGTCCAGGCGCCCCACGGATGGGGGATGTCCCCCGTGGAGAGCATGGGGAAGACACACAGCCCCTTTTTCGGGGTGGCCCTGGTGCCATCCCCACCACTCGCGTCTCGTAAGATGATACCAAGGACTTGACAGAGACCCCTGGCTGGGACATCCCAGAGGCAAGAGTGGTCAGTGCCTCCTCCTCCCCAATAGGGAGAGGGCTGTATCAAAGGGAATGCCTGGGGGGCTCAGAGCCCCCCTGGGCAGAGTGGAGTCCTGCGGGTACCAGGCAGGCAGAGAGGAGACAGGGCCTACTGGGGTGCTGGCCTGAGATATACACCCCGCCCTGCCTCAGAGCAAGGCGCAGCTGCTATTGGCTCCTCAGGGACACGGGGACCCCCTCCCTTGGCTCCAGAGTGGGCGGGAATTCCCAGACACACATGGTCTGTGCCAGCGTCCCCTGCTCACCCTGGCACCAATCCCAGATTAGAGGGGAGGGGGCGGCGAAGTCAGCTGGTGGCTGTGGGATGGAGGAACAACTATGGGACAAGGGGGCTGGCATGGGGAGGGGCTTGAAGGTGAGGCCCTAGGAAGACTGTCCCTACCTACGCCTCCCTACTTGCCCACTCTGGGCTAACCTTGGCCTCTCTTAGTTTCTAGAAAGGGAACAGACATAGGGAGAAGGGATCATAGACGTATTTATGAGCACACACCCCCAGACACAAAACATACACATCCTAAGTGCTCTTGGGGCCTGGGCCTGAGGGTCTCCCACTTCCTACATCGAAGAGCGAACTAGGAATGGTTACCATGGCAACAGAAACAGCCATGCTAGAAGCCCTGTAAATCAAAGACAACTCATATGAGATCCGAGTCCTGGGTGTGGGTTCTTGGAGGGAGCCAAAAGTTAAAGGGAAGCAGGAAGATGAGGCTGCAAGTGGGCGGTGGAGAGGCGAGCAGGGACTTTTTAAAGAGAATTAGGAGGGGAGTGATCAGTGAGCTGTATGGAGCAGGTCTGGCTGCAGTTTGTTAAGTGGCCACCAGAGGGAGACTCAGACCTGGCTCAAATGCCCCAGGGCTCAAGCTCCTGGTTAGTACCAGTTTGGTCCCAGAGTCTGGTTTTCCCTCAAGCCCCTGAGGTTACCCAGGGCTTGCTAGGGTCTTCTTGCCTTGCTCCCTCTCCAAAGCCCCTTCTTTCACCACCAGTGGTGGGCCCCCAGGTTCTTACCTTAGTCACCTAGCCTCTCCCCTGCTCCCCCTGGCATAGCAGGGGTCTCCAGCCCTGTCCCCTCTCAGAGTCAGGGCCCCACTAGGCTCCATTTATATATTTCTGGCTCATAGTCCCTCCCCTGCTGGCTGTCAGCTACAACTTGCCTTCCTACAGGGGGACCTGTACTCAGTCCAAGGTGACCCTTGCATGAGACTATGCTGCCAGAAAGGGAGCTGGGAATTTTCCATTTCCTGGTCAGGCTCTGGGTGCAGGAGGCACTGACAGGTAGAGCAACCAAGCAGGTGACCAAGCCAGAGACAGCAGGATACTAGTGATGAAGGACACCTGGGGCTTCCAAAAGAAGAGGACAGAGGGGATGTTTAAGAGTGGGAGGCCAGGGTGTGTGAGATGGTTTAGTGAGGTAAAGGTACTTGCTGTCAAGCCTGACGACCGGAGTTTGTTCCCCAGACCCTACATGGGAAAAGAAGAGAGCCTCTCTTTAAGAGAGCCCCTCTCTCAAGTTGTCCAATGAACTCCTCTCCCCCCCCCTCTCTCTCCCTCTCTCTCTCACACACACACACACACACAAATTTTACAAAAGTAATGGAGGGTTACCTAGCCTGTGTTAAAATAATTTTCAAACTATTTCAACCCACAACACCTAGGCAGAGACTAGGTTAGAGCAGAAAAACCCAACACCTTCAGTGTAGTACATACAGACACCAAAGATGCACAGACACACAAGTATAGAAATGTTGACCCTGCTTGGCAGACACTTAGAGTCAAGATGCCAAGTTAAATTGTCTACTCTCACCAGAAATAAAGGAATAACACAAATTAACACAACAAACATTTGCTGGCTGATAGATGGCGATCTTGCATTTGTCTAACTCGGTGGAGGTTTTGAAGCACTTCCCTTACGGCATTCTAGCCTTAACACTTGAAGGGCCGGGGTCTCTGGCTAGTCAGGCTTTCCCTTTGATAACACCCAAGTGAGGGGCTGTAAGCATTACATTGGAGTTCTTAGGCAGGATCTGGGACAGGATCAGCCAGTGCCATAAGCCCCTAAGCAACTTCATGTGGATGGGAATAAAATATCCTCTTTCCTGTGACTTATTACCATGGTCCCGAAAACTGTCATGACTTCTAATTTGGGCTGTGACTTCAAATGTGCATGGCAACCCCACTGGGGTTGTTCAGTGTACAACATGCACAGCTGGAGACAACAGCCCCGCAGGACTCCTGGGTTCTGGGGTGACAGCATCCCTAGTCTTTTTGCCTTTGAAGGTCAAATCCAAGTTTCAACAGGAGGATCAGAGGAAGACAGGACATCTGGAAGAGTGGAGGAGGTTCAGATCCTGGGGAAAGCAGCCACCCTTCCTCCCTGCATATGCTCTGGGAGCCCTTAGAGGCTGGGCCTGAAGCCAAGAACATGTCATCCAGCAATCCTGTCTACACTCTCTCCCGGATCTGGATCTGTGGTGGGGGAGGGGCTGGCTCCTTGCCCCACTTGGGTGAGCTGTCCCTGCCTCCTGTCTTAGCAAAAGGACATTGTAAGGACCATTATTACCTCCTATTCTCTTAGGACACACACATTCCAACAGGAGAGAGTGTGACTTCAGGTGAGACCCAGGCTCATGGACTGACTGAGTGACCTTGGCCATATTTCTAAAATCTTTTCCACTCTCCTTTCTTTCCTCTGGAAGGTGGGGAATTGTGGGATTGCTATTACAATTGCACAAGATAAGGGGGGAGGGGGCAAGGGAGAAGAAGCAAGATGGCTCAGAGATGGCTCAGCCAGTACAGACGCTTGCCCACCAAGCTTGATGACCTGAGCTTGATCCCTGGAACACACATGGTGGAAGGAGGGAACTGACTCCCACAAGATGTCCTCTGACCTCCATGGCACACATGCTAACACGCACATAAATAAAGAAAAAAAATTAAGTTAGCAGGGACTGGGGAGATAGCTCAGTTGGTAAAGTCACAGGAGCTTGAGAACCTGAGTTTGAGCCCCAGAACCCAAGTAAAAAAGCCAGGTGTGCCAGTTGTAGGGGCACATGCCTTTAATTCCAGCACTCAGGAGGCAGAGGCAGACAGATCTCTGTAAGATTGAGGCCACTCTCGTCTACACAGCAAGTTCTAGACCAGCTGGGGCTACAGGGAGACCCTGTCTCAAAAAGACCAGACAAAACAAAGAAAACAAAAAACAAAATTTTAAAGAAAAAGGGGGGAGGGGCCAGATGGGTGTGGTGGCATACGTCTCTAATCCCAACACTCGGGAGGCAGAGGCAGAGGCAGAAGGCAGGCGGATCTCTGTGAGTTCAAGGCCAGCCTGGTCTACATATTGAGTTCCAGGCCAGCTGAGGCTACAGGGAGACCCTGTCTCAAAAAGGGCAAAAAAAAAAGGGGGGGGGTGCCTGGAGAAATGGCTCAGAAATGGTTAAAAGCACTTGCTGCTTCCGCAGAGGACCTGGGTTCAGTTCCCAATACCCACTAGCAGCTAACAATAGCCTGTAACTCCAGTTCCAAGGGATCTGACATCTACTTCTGGCCTCCTCTGTGGACATGCACACATATGGTACATACATGCTGACAAAACACTCATACACACACACACACAAAAAGAAAAAAAGTCAGGGCATGGTGGTGCACTCAGGATGCAGAGGCAGGTTAGAGCTCTTAAGATGGAGGCCAGCATAGTCCACATAGTGAGTTCCTGGCAAACTGGGGCTACAGGGAGACCCTGTCTTAAAAAAAAGGGGAAGGGTTTTGGTATGTACCTTAGTGGTAGAAGATTTTCATAGCATGTGTGGAGCCCTAGGTTCAGTCACCAGTATCCTCCCTGCCCTGCCAATTTTTTTTTTTTTTTAAACCAGGCATAGTTGACATACATTTAGTCCCAGCACTCAGGAAGTAGAGGCAGGTGGATCTCTGTGAGTTTGAGGCCAGCCTGGTCTGCATAGAGTTCCAGGTCAGCCAGAGCTACATAGTGAGACCTTGTCTCAAACAAACAAACAAACAAACAAACAACAACAACAAAAAAAGCTGGATCCAAAGAAAGGCAGTAGATAATATATCTTTTCTAACTCAAGTCTTTGAGATTGGTTTCCTACAAGGCTTTGAACCACTACCTGGGCATCCATCCATTCACTCATTCATCCTAACCAAACACCTCCTATCCTCTATGGTATCACAAAAAAAAAAAAAAAAGAAAGAAAAGAAAAGAAACCAGGAGCATATAATCTGAGTTCACTAGGCACCCTCTTTTCCCATCCCAAATTGAAGGACTGGTAAGGCATCCCCAGCTCCCCAGTTGGACTCCCAACACTTCACATCACAGCTTATGCTCCCTCTGAAAAGGTGGGTCTCATGCCCCTTGGACCCTGGTCTTCTAGCTGCAGGAGACTCACCAGACAGGTGAGTGGGGTCTACCCACCCTATTCCTAGTGGGGAGAGAGTGGCCCAACCCAAACCCGCTGGTCCAGCAGGGTGGGGCATGAGGGGCTGGGTTGGGCCAGAACCCCAGAGCCTTGGAGGCTAGGAGACCAAAGTGGAGACTGGGAGCCCAACCGGTCAGACTAGGGTGTGTAGAGGGGGTGGGACAGAGGGAGGGAGGGGACCAGGCAAAAGGCTGGTGCTGTGGAGGCCCCAAGGGGCAAAACTCTCTGTGACAGAGAAAGCTGGAGGCTGGGTTGAGAAAAGGGTAGAGGAGGGACATGGAGCTTTCTTGCCAGGGAACCTCCCAGATAGGAGGGGGAAGGGTGGGAAGTGCTGAGAATAGCAGCAGAGGGGGGCAGGTGACTCTCTGGCCCTGGCAGACCTCACACCTCATACATTCCTGAGAGCCAGCTGGGAGGGAGCTCAGAAGCACCCTGCCTTGCCCTGCCCTGTCCTGCCTTGCACCAGCCCCTTGCCTTCCAGCTCCTGGCTGCCCCTGTCTCCTTTCATTTTAGAGTCCCCAAGCTTCCCCTGTGACTCTGGCCTCTTTTTCTATAAGCCTCAATCCTGGAAGCGGGGTGGCGCCACCTAGGGACAAGGTGGGACGGAGCGGCTGATTCCTCCTACACACACACTCACCCAACTCATGCAGTCCCATCCCTCAAGGCCTTCCTGACAGGAAGTCCCTCCCCTCAAGGGCCTCCAACAGGAAGTCCCACTTCTCCAATAAAAGTGGAGGGTGGCTAGCCCTTCTCCCCAGCTCCTATCGGCCTGCCCACTGCAAGAAACCAGCAGCCTAGGCGTCAGACTTGGCCAACATTCCTACGAATGTTGAAACCCAAAATCCTGCAGCCAAATGAGGCATTCGCCCCTAATGGGCAAGACCAGCAATACTGTTCTGCCAGGCATTGCATAGCAGGGCTCCAACTCCATGACTTTGGCCAACTCCTCTGTTCCTGCTGGTCATACTCTCCCAGGGCAGGAACAGAACTTTAGATCAATTCCTTCCTTCCTTCTTCCCTTCCTCTTCCCTCCTTCTCTTAAAAAAAAAGGTCTCATATCCCAGGTTGGCCCTAACACTTTCTATGTAGCTGAGGATGACCTTGTATTTCTGTTCCTCCTACCCCATCACCCCAGTGCTAGTGCTGGGATTATTTACATGTACCACCCCCACCCTTGGTTTATGCAATGTTTATGATCTAGGGCTTCATACATGCTAGGTAAATCTACCAACTGAGCTACAACCCCAGCTCTCCCCACACACAACTTTTTTTGGTTGTTTTGTTTTGAAACAGGGCCTGTAGTTCAAGCTGTCCTGGAATTTACTATGTAGCTGAGGCTAGCCTTGAATCCATGGTGATCCTCATGTCTCAGCCTCCTAAATGCTGTATTACAGGCTTGAGCTACCCCCACCTTTTTTGAGACCAGGTCTCCCATTGTAGCTCAGGCTGGCCTTGAACTTCAGATAGCCTCCTGCTTCCACCTTCTGAATGTGAGATCATAGGTGAGTGCCATGCCACCACACCAGTCAGGCAATACTTTCTTAGTACCAGAAATCTTGAGCCCAGGCTAGGTGTGGTAGCCCACACCTTTTTAAATCCTAGTAATCAGGAGGCAGAGACTATAAATTTAAAGCTAGCCTGGTCTGCACAGCAAGTTCTAGGCCAGCCAGTATTATATAGTGGTACCTTGTCTCACCCCTCCCCCCCAAATAAAATAAAATAAAATAAAATAAAAAGAACAGCTGGAGTGCTGGCTCAGTGGTTGCTCTTACAGAGAGGACCCACGTTAGGGTCCCAGCATCTACATGGTAGCTAACAACCATCCATAACTCCAATTCCAGGGGATCCGATGCCTTCTGCTGGCCTGATGAGCAGTGCACAAGTGCACCTATATACATGCAGGCAAAACACTCATACACATTAAAAAAACAGGAACAAAAACTTGGTCTTACTATGTATCTCAGGCTTGCCCTACAGTAGTCTATGTGGGACTCTAAGGATGTTATGCAACCATGGTGGGCTTTAATGTCCTTTCCCTGTTGTTGGTTGGAGCAAAGAGCGATGAAGTTGGGAAGGTACTTACCTATTCTTCCCATTTCTTTTTGAAACAGTTTCACATAGTCTAGACTGGGCTCCGAGTCCTGATCCTCCTCCCTCTACCTCCCAGTTACTGGGATGACAAGGCATATACCACCACACCTGGTTTATGCAACTCTAGAGATTGAACCTAGGGCCTCATGCATGCTAGGTGAGCACTCTCCCCCTTGAGCCACAGCCCCAGCTGTCTCCCCACCTCTTCTCTATTCTTGTCTCTAGCACACTTGCCAATGGATTCCTAAGGCCGGCCCAGTGATCTCTAAATCTGCCAAGACCTCTGGAATCTGTCAACAATGACTCCCTTCAAACTCTAAAAGACTCTCTGCCTGAAGTCTGAAGCCAAGAAGTTCCACCCAGCTCGCTCCCCAGTGAGGGAGTGGGTCCCAAGTCAACTTCATCAGTGGCTATGCCCCGGCCAGGTCTCTCTTTAAGAGGTCCTCTCCAAGTTCACCTACGGAGAAGGACATCAGGCAGAGCCATGCCGCTATGACACTGGGTGTCACCCTTGTGTCCCTTACCACACGGAAGGAGCCCACCTACCTGTCGTCATCACTGTCCAAGTGACCACTGATGGCAAGCATGGAGCGGGCCAGGCTGAGGCTCTGGGCTGCTGCGGCTCCAAAGGGGTCTGGAGACTTGTGGACAAGGCTGGCATCGAAGTAGAGGGCTGGGGAGTTGGGGCGGGAGTCAAGTGGGGGTACCTGGAGGCAGAGAGGTGGTAATCATCACATGGGGTGTCGGCTGGGGACGTAGCTTGGATGGCAGTGTGCTTGCTTAGTGTACACAAAGCCCTGGGTTCCATCTATAGCACTGCGGTAAAATAGAATAAAATGGAGGGGGCAGGTAGGGATGTGGCTTGGTGGTAGAAGCCTTGCTTAGCATGCACAAGGCTCCAGGTTCCATCTACAGCATGAGAGAGAGAGACAGACAGACAGACAAAAAGAGACAGACACACAGAGACAGGGTAGCATGTGAAGGGCCCTGGATTCCATTCAGAGAGGGAGAGAGAGAGAGAGAGAGAGAGATACAGAGAGAGAGAGAGAGACACAGACAGAGAAAAAGAGAGAGACACACAGAGAGAGAGAGACACAGACACAGAGAGAGACACACAAACGCACACACACACACACAGAGAGAGAGAGAGAGAGAGAGAGAGAGAGAGAGAGAGAGAGAGAGTAGCTACCTTACCAGTTGCCCTTGTCTGGGTTCTTTCTCCCTCTAGATTTCTAAGGATTCAGGAGTCCTATCTCTGAAGCCCTTCCCTATTCCTGTCTTGCTATAAACAGTAAGCAGGTACTAGGGGTATAGGGGTGTTATAGTAAGAACTGGAGTATCAGAGAAGGGCATCCCTTCATGTCCTCAGCCAGGGCTCCTAATTAGAGGTTGCTCTATTTAGACATGGTCTTTTTTTTTTTTTTAAGATTTTTTTAAGATTTATTTTTATTTTTAATTATGTGTATGTGCACAGGAATGCAAATGCCCGCAGAAGCCAGAGACTTCAGATCTCCCTGGAATTGGAGTTACAGGCAGTTGTGAGCCACCTGATATGGGTGCTAGGAATTGGGATTTGAATTCAGGTCCCCTGGAAGAGCAGTATATGCTCTTATCCACTGAACTATCTCTCTAGCCCATGAGTGTCTTTTTTGATCTAGGGTCTCAAGTAGCCAAGGCTGGCCACACACTGACTATGTAACCAAAGATGACCTTAAACTCCTGATCCTCCTGCCTCTATCTCCCAAAGGCTAGGATTATAGGTGTGTACCACCATGCCTGGTTTACGAGATGCTGGAGAGTAAACCCAAGGCTTTCTGCATGCTAGGCAAAGCACTCTGTCAACTGAGTTATACACACACACACACACACACACACACACACACACACACACACACACACACAGAGCTTTTTTTTAATTTTTGAGACAAGCTCTCACTATATAGCCTAAGCTAACCTGGAACTTGCTATGTAGCCTAGGCTGGTCTTGAACTTGCCACCCTCCTGCCTCTGCTCCCCCATAATTGTATAACTTCTTATAACCACAAAAATGTCACTTCCTTAAGGAGACACTTCCCCACCATTCACTAATCCACTCAACAGTTTAAAAACATTTTTTTAGAGTATCTAATATCTGAAAATAAAGTATTTATCATGTCTCTCCTGCTAGGAGGGAAGTTTGTTCTGTGGCTATTTGTAGAATGAAAGAATCCTTAGACTACTAGTTCTCCACACCCCCTGGTCCATGCTAACCTCTTCTCTCAAATTTCTCAGGGCCTCAGGTGAAGTTGAGTTGGGAGTGGGGGTGACAGGAACAGGATAGAGGCCTCAGTAAGGCCCCTGGAGAGGCCCCAGCTTCTTGGAAAAGTCAAGAGCAGAGTACAGTGGTTAGAGGGACAAAGCACAGGAAAGGGGTCCAGTGGTGCCCTTGCCCCCCTTCAGTCTCCCCTGGGCTCTTTTTTTAAAAAATATTTTATTTATTTATTTTTTTATTTTATGTGTACGAGTATATTGCCTGCATGTATGTGAGTGCACCCGTGTCGTGCAATGCAGCGGAGGTCAGAAGAGGGCTTTGGATTCCCTTGGAACTGGAGTTAAGGACGGTTCATAGCCGCCATGTGGGTGCTGGGAATCAAACCCGGGTCCTCTGCAATAGCATTCAGTGCTCTTAACTGCTAAGCCATCTCTCCCCCCTCCCCTGGGCTCTTTTAGAGCCATGGGACTGTATGAAGGAGACAAACTTTGGGGCAGGGAAACAGCAACAGTCATAGGCACACAGGAAATGATCAGCACACGATGGAAGGAAGGAAGGGGGGGGGTTGCGGACACTGTGGGGAGAAAGGCAGGGTCTAACAAACTTAAAGGAGGCTCAGGGTGAGCCTAAAAGTACAACGCAGAGGGCTGGTGAGATGGTTCAGCCAATAAAGGAGGTTGCCATCAAACCTAAGAGCCAGAGTTTGATCCTTGGGACCCACATGGTGGAAGAAAAGAACCAACTCCCAAAAGTTGTCCTCTGACCTCCACATGCACACTGTGGCATGTGCATGCCCACACACATTTACACACACACACACACACACACACACACACACACACACACACACGCCATTAACAAATAAACTTACCCTAAAAGAACCTGGGGACCAGGCAACTGCAGCTTGCCCAGGGGGCTAAATGAAAGAACTCCAGAAAAATGGGAAATGGGGGTCATGAGATGGGGAGTTTGAGGCCAGAAGGTAGGAGAGCCAGTCCTGACCAGTTCTAACAGGGCCTGGGTTCAGGATATTTTTACATTGTGGTTTGAGCTCATGGCCAGGAAGGGGACAGAACCCTCATCCTCACACTCCCTGCCCTTCCTTGGCAGCCAAGGTGTTATTTTCTTCTCTGGGGCAAAAGTATCCAACTCTCCCATCCCTAACTCCTGACCCAACCCCCAACACACACACACACACACACACACACACACACACACACACCACACACCCCAGGGACCCAGGCATCCTGCCCCCAGCCCAGGCTTGTGGGTTGGTTCCTCTTTTGGAAACCGGAAGCAGAAAGAGCAGAGAATTTAACTCTTGCCCTCCTGTTTCCCACCTCCTTCCCACTCCATGCATGGTTGGTGAGATCACCCCAGCAATCACTCTTGGAGAAGTCACTGTATAGGGGACTAAGATGACTAAGGGTAATATGTGCCTCCCCCCTCATACACACACACACACACACACACACACACACACACACACACACACACACACACACCCCACCACCCAGTAAACTCAGATAAACTGGTCTGCAATGAGGGAGAAGATGGTGGCTGTTGGGAAGATCCAGAGGCATGCCTACCTTTTATGGCTGCCCCAAAACCCTGGTAGCTCCTCCCCTTGGGGGCCCAGCCAGCCACCCAGCTGGGGCCTCCACCCTCATCACCTGGAGCCAGAGAGGTAAATGCTCAAGTAAGCAGGCTACATATGTCACAGGCTTTATGGAAACAGTCAAGGCCAAGGGCAACAAGTTAAATTGGGAAGATCCAGAGGCATGCCTACCTTTTATGGCTGCCCCAAAACCCTGGTAGCTCCTCCCCTTGGGGGCCCAGCCAGCCACCCAGCTGGGGCCTCCACCCTCATCACCTGGAGCCAGAGAGGTAAATGCTCAAGTAAGCAGGCTACATATGTCACAGGCTTTATGGAAACAGTCAAGGCCAAGGGCAACAAGTTAAAGGCCACAGAGAGAGAGA